AACTCCTAGTGACCCTATGCGTAACAGCTCTAACTCTTGGTCTATCCTGTGCTAATCTCATTACCTCCAACACACCCACTTCCATCACACCAGTCAATCAATCCATCTCATAGAGGGTCTTCCTCTCCTGTGCTGTCCTTCCACCATCCCTAACATGACTTCCCTCTCCAAGAACTGGACCCTCCTTGCAACATGTCCAAAGTATGTCAGACAAAGATTCAGAATCCTTGCCTCCAAGGAGCAGCCTGGCTTCCCCCTCTCCAGGATGAACCTGTTTGTTCTCTTAGCAATCCATGGTATATTCAATATTCTTCTCCAACACCACAGCTCAAAGGCATCAATTCTCCTTCTATAATCCCTAGTCATTGCCAAGCTCTCTGATGCATAGCAAGTGATTGCCTGTATCAGACACACACATTAGTCTCCATAGTGAAATCATTGCTCTTCAGTACTTTGGAGAGGTCTCTAACGGCAGACTTTCCCATCGTAATACATGTTTTAATTTCCTGGTTACTGCTGCCAAGAGTGTTGATTGTGGAGCCAAGCAAACTAATGCTGTGAACAATCTCAGTCTGTTCACCATCTATCATGATACTGCTGCCAATAGGCCCAGTAATAAGAGTTGGACAGTGAATAGCGTTGATAAAAAGAGAATTGATGCCTTTGAGTTTTGGTACTGGAAAAGAGTGTTGAATATACCATGGACTGCTAGGTGAACACACAGGTTTGTCCTGGAGAGGGTGAAGCCAGAATGTTCCCTGGAGTCAAGGATTCTGAAGCTTCGTCTGACATATTTTGGGCATATTGCAAGGAGGGGCTGTGACTAAGAGAGGGACATCATGTTTGGCAGAGTGTATGAGTCGTGCAGGAGAGGAAGACCTTCGATGAAATGGATCGATTCTGTGACTGGAGTGGTGGGAATGAATGCATTTGAGATGGCTAGGTTGGCACAGAATAGAACGGAGTTTAGAGCTCTTGTACGTAGGGTCGCTATGAGTTGCAAGCGATTCGATGGCACATAACAACACCATATTACGAAAGATTAGACAGCAAAATAATTCTATTTTACTGTTTTAATATGCAAGAATATTATATATTTTAAGATATGTTGTTGTTGTTGTTATGTGCCATCGAATCGCTTGCGACTCATAGCGACCCTGTGTACAACAGCCCTAAATTCTGCTCTGTCCTGTGACAATCTCATTGTCTCCGAAACACTCATCCCAATTACCCCAGTCACTCAATCAATCCATCTCCTAGAAGGCCTTCCACTCCTGCACCTGCCCTCCCTCCACCCTCCCAAGCATGATGTCATTCTCTAAAGACCGGTCTCTCCTTACAACATGACCAAAGTAAGTCAAACGAAGCCTCAGAATCCTTGCCTCCAAGGAGCAGCCCGGTTTAACCCTCTCCAAGAAGAATCTGTTTGTTTTCTTGGCAGTCCATGGCATCCTCAATACTCTTCTCCAACATCAATGCTCAAAGGTATCAATTCTCCTTCTATCCTCCCTAGTCACTGTCTAACTCTCTGACGCATAACATGTGATTGCAATGACCATGGCCTGTATCAGATGCACCTTAGTCTCCAGAGAGACACATTTGCTCTTCAGTACTTTGGAGAGGTCCCCAAACAGTAGACTTTCCCATGGCAATACATCTTTTAATTTTCTGGCTGCTGGTGCCAAGAGTGTTAATTTCAAAAGTTTATTTTAAGATATACTGTTATATATAGTATTTATTTAATTTCATAATTTTATTGAATATAAAAATAATTTTTAAAATAGAAAATATTGCAAAAATTATTTTTATGATTGAAAGCTGAAGCGTGATTAAGAAAGACTGAAGAAGAATTGATTTTATTTTGTTGATAAAATAATATCCTACTGATGATAAGATGAGAGAAACAAATCTTTCTTGAATGAAGTACAGCTAAAATGCTTTTTACGAGGGAATTTGATAAGACTTATCCAGAGGTACTTTGAACATGTTTCTGGGAGGAGAGGCATGCTTTGTATGCACGAGAAAGTTGGAGAATGAATTTTCAAGACTGACAAAAAACTGACACCTTCAATTTTGATGTTGGTAAAGAATATTATTATACTTTGACTGCTACAAGAACTTATAACTCTTATTTGGAGGAAATATGGCCAGAATGCAGGTCATTTGATATTTTGACTGTATAGTTAATAAAATTCAAGTAAACATCTTTCTTTTGTTCACTACTTTCAGACAACAACCATTTGGCGTCAGTGGTGATAACCATAAATCCTTGGTCTCTTCTGAATCCAGCCTGAATTATTATCAGTTCCCTGTGGATATACAGCTCTAGCCATTCTTGACAAGCTTTAGCAAGATTTTACTTGTTTTTACTAATAGCATACTGATTGATAATTTCTGCATTCTATTGGATCATATTTTTAATAGGCACAAATATGTATCTTTTCTCAATTTCCTAGCAAGTGAATATGTCCAGAGCTACACAGCTTGTTAAAACACTTCAATTGCTATTCCATCAATTCTTGGACCTTTATTTTTTGCCTATGCCTGATCATTTCTGTGATTTTGAGTTTTGTTTCACATTTTCCTACTCTTTTATGCAAGACTCTCTTTTGTGGTAGGCCAGCACCATCCATCTTCTGGTCTCAATGTAGTATAAGTCCTTTATATCTTTGATTTTCTATGCTTTTCTATGTTCAGGAGAGAGACACCAAAAGTTGTGCCTTAGATAGCTGATGGCAAGCTTCAAGACTTCAGTTACTACCAACCAAAGTACTTTGTTTTTGTGTATTGTGTTGTGGAGTAAAGGATCTCTTCAAACCTCTTGCTATGTGCCTGCTGTCAAGAACATCTTCATAGTTCCAAAGCAAAGATGTAAGTTGAAAGATCAAGGTGCACTTGAGTCAAGCCAGGACATTTTCAATTGCTTACTACCCATCTGGAAATTGGCAATGAATAAGGATGATGGAAGAAGAATGATGCTTTTGAATTGTAATACTGATGCAAAATATTATACCATTGATTGCCAAAAGAATGAACAAAATTGTGTTAAAGAAAGTGTGACTAGTGTGCTCCTTTTAGCTAAGAATGGTGAAACTTTATCTCACTTTAAGCATATTTTCAAGAGGAACTAGTCCTTGGAGAGAGGCATTGTGTTATGCATAGAACACAAACTTGCTCTCTGAAAGTGAGTAGGATTTGAAACAATCACTACAGAAGATCAAATACTACATTGTTTAATATGAATTACATATGAAATATTGAAAAGTCCTCATTAATGTACAGATTATTGTTGTGTACTGTCAAATCAGAACCAGACCTGCAGCTGACTCTCCAGTCTATTTTCAGAGACAGTAAATTGCATGGAAGGGGATGACCCATCTTTTCCCCATGAAGTATCTGGTGGATTTTAACCATATACTTCTGCATTGGCAGAGAAATTGGCTTAATGGTAATTATCTGTACTGCAAATGCAAAGGTATGTGGTTTGAATCCACTAGTTGCTTTATGGGAAAAAGGCATTAAGTCTCCTCCAGTGTAATTTACTGCTTCTAAAAACACACTGGAGGCAATGGGTGATTCTGATTCTATGTTGCACAATAAAGTCACCATGGCCAACAATAACAAAGCCAGCAGAGCTCCCTAATGGACAGATAAGCAACATCATCATCAATGGAGAAGAGAATCAAGTTGTCAACTATTTCATCTTACTTGGATCCATATTCAACACACTTGATATCTCCTGTCTTTGGATTGGCAGCACAACTTCTTACCTTTTAGGCCATCAGGACTCCCATTCTACTGAGGGAAGTGCTTTGCTTATTCAGATTTTCTTTCCTTCCCATATTATTAATTGATTGTTTTCAACTCCTTAAATAATATTGATGGGATTTTGACTGAGATTGCATTATATCTATAAATAACTGGTTAATATTGACATTTTACACTATTAAGTCTTCCAGTCCATGAGCATGGTATGTTCTTCTCCATATTTAGATATAAATTAGTTTGTTTTTATAATAAGGTTTTATAGCTCCTTTATCTTTCTGGCTGAATGTATCCTTAAGTATTTTATCTTTTGGATTACTACTGTTATGCACTATCCAGCTGACAAGATTCATAATAATCCGATGAACAGCAGATTATAACATTTCCCTATTCTGTGCCATTCTCCTTTGGGTTCTTATTGCTGTTGTTGTTGAATACCTTTGAGTTAAGCAAAACTCATAGTGACCCTATGAACCAAAGGCCTTTCCATAACAATTGACATTTATCAAAATTCATAGTTTCCAAAGGCATGTTGTTTAGGAAGTGGATGCCAGTCCTGCTTCCAAACTTGACTTAAATTGGGAGCTCCACCAAACACTGTCCACTATGGGTAACTGTTATGGCATTTGACACCCCAGTGGTACAAGGTTCAGTGTCACAGCAACCCCAAGTTATTTCAGTACAGCATATTGACAGAGGAGTGCTGTACTTCTTAGAAGAATGTTCCTCCAAAATATAATAACAACCAACTTTAAATACAGAGGACCTCCCCCAGGTCTTGTTGACCCTAAATAAGAAACTTAAATTTAAAAAAAAACAGACACACACCCAAAAACAAACAACGAATATAGTATGTTCTTATAGTTATGTGTCATTGAGTCACCTGTGATATATGGTGACCTATGTCCTGAGCCAATCTCACTAATTCCAACACACCACCAATGAAATGGGCTCAGAATAGGCAAGGCTCAGAGCTATTGTACATAGGGTTGGTATGAGTCACAAGCAACTCAATAGCACATTATAATAATTACACACAAAAAAATGATGAAAACAAAATAAGGAAAGTAATATAATTTTTGGTAGTTACCCAAAGGTAGTCTCCAAAATAAATTTATATCAATAAAATAATACCAATATAATAAAATCAATAAAATAATATCAATAAAAATATTCTCACCACTGATCAACAGACAAGGCCATCATATTTGGAGAAGATATTGAGGTTGTTAATAATTGAATCTTGCTTGGATCCACAATCAACACTCATGACACCTGCAGTCAGGAAATCAAAAGATGAGTTGCTGTAGGGAAGTGTACTGTCAGAGACCTTTCCAGAATGCTAAGGAGCAACAATGTCAGTCAGAGACAAAGATGTGTCTAATCCATGAGAAGGCCATGGGTGCTTGCTATACAACTCAGTGCTGGAAAATGACTAAGGATAATAGTAGATAAATCAAAGCCTTTGAATTTTGATGCTGCAGAAGAGTCCTGAACATACCCTGGACTCAGAACAAACAGTTCTGTCCTGCAGAGAGTATTAGAATATTTTCAGTTCTCAGAGAATACCAAACTATGCTATTCTTCATGACTTTGTCTTGACCTTATATGTTACATAGAATATAGTCTATTCTCTCCTCCATACACAGCTTCTGTATGAAAAATACTCAGTTTTGTTGTCGTTATGTGCTGCCTGCGACTCATTGTGACATGCAGCAGCCCTAAACCCTGCTGTATCCCTTGCCAATATTATTGTCCCCGATGCACCTATCCCCATTATCCCAATGACGGTATCAATTCCTCTCATTGAGGATCTTCCTCTCCGTGCTGTACCTCAACAATCCCAAGCATGATGTCCCTCTCCAAGGATGATCCCGCCTTGCAACATGTCCAAAGTATGTCAGACAAAGCTTCACAATCCTTACCTCCAAGGAGCAGCCTGGCTTCACCCTCTACAGGGTGAACTTGTTTGTTCTCCTAGCAATCCATGGTATATTCAATACTCTTCTCCAACATCACAGCTCAAAGCATCAACTCTCCTATCATCCCTACTCACAGTCCACCTTTCTGATGCATAACAAGCAATTGCAAAGACCACGGCCTGTATAAGGTGAACCTTAGTCTCCAGAATAACATCATTGCTCCTCAGTACCTTGAAGAGGTCTCTGACATCAGACTTTCCCAATGCAATTGGACTTTTAATTTCCTGGCTGCTGGTACCAAGAGTGTTGATTGTAGAGCCAAAAAAGTCTGAAGTTGTTAACAATCTCAATCTTTCACCATCTATAATGATGCTGAAAACTGGCCCAGTGGTGAGAATCTTTGTTTTCTTTATGTTGAGCTACAAGCCATATTGAAGGCTACAGTCCTTGACCCTCCACAACAAGTGCTTCATGTTCTCCTTAGTTTTATCAAGCAGGGTTGTATCATCTGCATAACGCAGATTGTTGATGAGTCTACCTCCAATCCTGATGCCACGTTTCTCCTCATAGAAGCTGGCCTCCTGGATAACCTGTTCCTCACATAGATTGAAAATATATGGAGATAGGACACATCCTTGACACACACTCTTCCCAACTTTGAAACATGCAGTGTTTCCTTGCTCTGTTCTGACGAATGCCTCCTGGTCCAAGTATAAATTTTGCCTAAGCACAAGCAAGTGTTCTAGGATTCCCATTTTTCTCAAAGTCAGCCACAGTTTGTTGTGATCCACACCATTTAGCAAAAGGATTATTTAATTTCTGAAACTTTTCTTTATTTGCATCATTCTGCCTCCCATGTTGTGTTTATATATTTCTCCATATGCCTTATTTTGTATTGTTACATGAGCTTTTATTGTAGTATTAAAAGACTTTACATATATATTCACATGTATTTATTTTATATCAGTTTTTCACACTTATAAATCATGTCATATTTATATTTATGTACTAGAAAGGAGATACGGTTACTAATATGCGTCTTTTTTTAAATTGCTGAATGAGTGATTCAATATAATTTGTCCTAAGGACTGTGTCTCTCAGATTTAGAGTTGGGAGAAGGTTAATTAGTGAAATTTAAGTAGGAGATTTGAAAGTCATTACACAGGCTGGTTTAGATAACTCTTAGAGGTTCTAAGCCAAATGACTATGAGAATTCTGAGTTCTTATCAATAAAATAATCTTATAAATATTGGTATAATATGAATATCATTGACTTACATAAGAAACAAATTCATAGTAAATTAGCTGTCTTTGCTCCATTCATATATGTTTATTTAGAAGATAAATTAAATTTTGTATTTTAAAATGTAAGTTTGATAGTTTGAACCCTATTGAAAACATGTTAGAAGACAAGGAGGGCAATCTGCTTCCAGAAGGGCACAGTTCTGAAGACCTTTGGCGTGGTTTTAGTCTACACTCATAGGCTCACCTTGAGTATGAATCAACTATACAGCAAGTAACAAAATAATATTTTGAAAGGGTGTAAATAATGTTAACAATTTGATAGGTTGATGTACTTTTAGTCCTGTAACAATAATTTACCTTTTCTCTTAGGGCTCAAGAAATACATAGAAGACATCTTGAAGAAAAATATGTTCTTGATATGCTCAGATTTAACAAATCCTGGGAAAAATTTAATGAATCAAAAATAAAAGTTGCAGTTATAAAAGGGAATTATCTTTAGAGAAATGACAAAATGATCCAGATCATCAGTTATGAATTTAAAAATTGCAGTCATAATTTTTAGTTGAAAGACACTGAAATAATACTCTGAAAGATAAAATGTTCCTTGTTACATTTCAAATGTTTATTTTATTGACCAAAATTTAACATACACCAACTTGACACCTCCAAAGTTATATGTCCAAATTGCCAAAAACTAATTAAAATTGGTTTAATCTATTGCAGACAAGATTGCCTAGGAAGTGCATATATTTTATTTCAAATATTCTCTGAGTATAGAATTTCATAAGTTATTTAAGTTTCTCTGACAATCTCAGAATAAATAGTACTTTTTGTCCCAGCTGCTTTTCTTATGATATTGTGTCTGATGGTTTCATTACCTATTTTCATATATGAAATTATATTTCCTATATATTTTGCTCAAATTTTCTGAAGATTTTCATGAGGGGTTTTTTGTGAATAAAGATCTATATGATTATATCAATAATTCATGGTCACTGTATTAATTTAAAAAATAGATGGAGAGGTTTAGAAAGGCCTTTAAGTGTTCCACGGTCATAAGATGCTGCCCTACTAAACAAATAGCTGTATTTTCAGGCTATAGGATTACACAACTAAACAAATAGCTGTGTTTGCACTGATACAAATCCTCCAGTAATAACTAGGAAGAAAGATGGAATGTCTCCTCCTATTGTTATTTACAGCTTCCAAAACCAGTGGAGGGTCGCTCTGAGACAGAATCAACTCAATGGTAGTGCGTTTTAGATCATGGACTAGAGAGACATATTACACAGACTCCCTACAACAATGACTCAAGAAACTAAGTGATATTAAAATCAAATACTCATCCTGGAACTCTGAGCTTCAAAGGCAAGATGAAAATAGTTTAAATAGTAATTAGAAGAAGAAACAGAATGGAAACCACAAACAAATAGATTGACAAAGCAGTATATTGTTAGTCAACCTAGTGCACTTTGACCATTTTGAATTATAGCAAGCAATATTACATTTGAAGCTGGAAACAGATAACCAGCTTCATTCATCTACCACTACACCAACTCCCATGAATCAATATGCAGAGAGTGGTGACACCTTTCTTATCCTCAACATTCCACTACTGGTCAGAAGTTTGGCCAACCCTCATCCTCACTCATCTACTGGTAGATGATGTCCTCACTGCCACTTGCTCACTCAGTGGTATGTATGTCCTAACTCTCTCTTCAACAGGACTTTTACTTCATTACTCTTCCCTCCATACAAGTCTTCCCTCCCATAGTCCTTCTCTATGTCATTAATTCCTCTAAAGGAATAAGCAAAGTGTACCCACTGTCTCTGAATTTGATGATGTGTGTTCTCGCATAATGTGTATCACACACCTGTAGTGTCTAAGTCTTGAAGTGTGCAAGCCTACAAATTTATTATCATACACCCACCACCATGTTTGGTGATGAGTACTCCTAAACATTGGATATCATGTGCATCCACAGCTGCACACTGAACCCACATCAACTACGATTAGCTTTCTCTTTTTAATTATTTCTTTCCTCCTTTTCTTCCCTTGTTTTTATTCCGCCATGCTCTGGCAAACAGCAAGTATGTTGAAACTCCTCAGTCACAGCTGTATCACTCACTACCACACTCACTGTGGTAAGGGTGACTAATGTTTCCTAAACCATTTGATAAATAAAAAAAGCTAACCCTATTGGTCTTCTGACAACTACTCTGTGTTAACAGCTAATGGGTAACCACTCATGGAAATCTATCTTTCAAAAAACCAATAAACAAATAGATGATGAGCATGTATATGCTGATCAACTAGAAACCTATTCTCTGGTACAGTAAAACACCTCAAAAATAAATCAAAAAACCTCAAAAAACATAGACCAACATATAATATCAAATAAGCACCGCACCACAGTGTCTCAGAGATAGCAGACAACTCAGTTCACACAGAGAGACAAATGAGGCTTGAGCAATTAATTAAAATACTGAGTTACCTCCATTTTTTTATATTCTTCATGAGAAAGAAATGGTATTACAACCACCTGAAAATAAACGCACATAGTTATTGTTAGAACCTTTGAATAGATTAATAAAGCGAGCAAGGAAAGTACAAGCAAAAATCAAAAGAAACACAGGAAAAAAAATTCAAAATAATTAAGGAAAACAAAAAGACTCGTTAGTAAAATAAAGAGAAAATAAAAAACCATACCAAAAAAGCATATGTAAGTTCAAATAATTGACAGAAACTTTTCAGAAGTAGATAACATTGGAACAATAGAGGAAAATTGAATTGGTGGAAGATATTACCAACAAACGTATGTCTCATCTCTTCTCTTTCTCTAATACATCACCACTCCTTGCACTCTGTTTATCTGGGTTTCATCGACTATGCAAAGGCATTTGACTGTGTATATCACAACAAATTGTGGCTAACCTTGAGGAAAATGGTAATCCCAGAACACTTGATTGTCCATATGCAAAACCTATACTTGGGCCAGGAAGCAGGCCTCAAAACAGAGCCGGAAAACACTGCATGGTTCAAAGTAAGGAAAGGAGTGCGACAGGGATGCATCCTGTCTCCACACCTTTTCAATCTATATGCACAATAAAGCATTTAGAAGGCAGGACTTCATGAGGATGAATGTGACATCAGGATGGAGGAAGACATCTTACGTTATGCAGGTGATACTAACTTCCTTGCTTGCTGAACTGAAGAAGACATGAAGAACTTGCTGCAAAAGGTAAAGACCTGTAGTCTTCAATATGGATTGAATGAAGCTCAGCATCAAGAAAACTAAGATTCTCACTAGTAGGCCTATTGGCAGCACAATGATAGATGGAGAAGAGATTGAAGTTGTCAACAATTACAGCTTGCTTGGCTCCACAATCAACACTCTTAACATCAGAAGTCAGGAAATTAAAAGACAGATTGCATTGGAAAAATCTGCTGTCAGGGACTTCTCCAGAGTGCTGAAAATCAATGATGACAATCTAGAGACTAAGGTGTGCCTAATCCAGGCCATGATCTTCACGATTATTTGCTATGCATCAGAGAGCTGGACAATGACTAAGGATAACAGAAGAATCGATGCTTCTAATTGTGGTGCTGGAGAAGAGTCTTGAAGACACCATGGACTGCAAACAAACAAATAGGTATGTCTTGGAGTGGGTGAAACCAAATTTATCCTTGGAAGTTAGGGATTTGAAGCTCCATCTCACATTTTTTTGGGCATTGGGCCAGGAGAGACTAATCCTTGGAGAAAGACATCATGCTTGGAAGGGTGGAGGGACAGAGCAGGCGAGGAAGACCCTGGATGAGATGTATTGATACAGTGACTGGGGCAATGGAGGTTGGTTGGTTGGAATTAGTGAGACTGGATCAGGGCAGGACAAGGTTCAGAGCTGCTGCATAAAGTTTTGCTTTGGATCACAGGCAACTTGATGGAGAATAACAACAACAACAATACCAGTAAAACTGAAGAAAAATCTCTTAAAGTCAGTTTGTAAGAGCAATTACATAAAAGAAAATTGTAAGAATAAACTGAGGCAGTATTAAGAGGATTAATAGGTATCATTAGAATTCAAGAACAAGAAGACACACAAAATTTTTTTAAAAACCCAAGAAATAGCCAAAGATTTGGTGGAAGCAAACATCTCTAACATTATGAAAAAATGGGATTTTGTGTATTCCAGAACTGATGAACTCCAAATGAACAGACTCCAAAGAAACTCAACAAAATATGTCAAGCTCAAGTTTCCGGAATGTTATTATTGTTGTTTTTGGGTGCCATCAGGGTGACCCCAAATCAGAGAGTAACTCTATTAACAATAGACCGCAATAATCAACAATAGATCAGAATGATGAAAAATAGGTCAGAATATTGCCCTCTCCTGCACCATCCTCACAATTTCTGTTATGCTCAAGCCATTGTGGAATTCATCTTATCAATGATCTCACTGATGCTCTTTCTCTCTTCCGATGACCCACTGCCACTTTCATAATGATATCTCGCTCTAAAAATTCATTTCCCCTGAAAATATATCAAAAGTAAACTAGAATAATTTTCACCATCCTTACCATAAAGAACCACTCTAGTTTCATTTCTTCCAAGATAGATATATTGGGGTG